CATGACCTTCATCACCAGCAAGGAGGTGGGTTGGGGTGTGATGGGAGCTCGTGGGCCTGTGGGGAGCCTGGTGGATCCCACAGGACTCAGGAATCTCCCTGTCCCCCCCCAGGATTTGAACTGCCAAGAGGAAGAGGATCCCATGAACAAGCTGAAGGGGCAGAAGATCGTCTCGTGCCGGATCTGCAAAGGCGACCACTGGACCACCCGCTGTCCCTACAAGGACACCCTGGGGCCGATGCAGAAGGAGTTGGCCGAGCAGTTGGGGTTGTCTACAGGCGAGAAGGAGAAGCTGCCTGGAGGTACCAGCCCCTCTTTATCCTGAGATAGGTCAAGGGAAGTTATTTGGGAATGACATGGAGGTGTTGGAACGGGGCCGGAGGAGGCTCTGGAGATGCTGGGAGGGCTGGAGCCCCTCTGCTGGGAGGGGAGGTTGAGAGAGTTGGGGGGTTCAGCCTGGAGAAGAGAAGGCTCTGGGGGTCCTCGGAGCCCTTTCCAGTCCCTCAAGGGGCTCCAGGAGATATGGGGAGGGAGAAGGGATGAGGGGGAAGGGTTTTACGAGGGGGAAGGATTTTAAGGTAAAAAGTGGAGATTTAGGGAGAAATTGTTGACTCTGAGGGTGGTGAGAACCTGGCCCAGGTTTTCCAGAGAAGCTGTGGCTGCCCCATCTCCAGGGAGACCTTGGTGCCCCTTCCAGTCCCTCAAGGGGCTCCAGGAGAGATGGGGAGGGAGCAGGGATGAGGGAGGGGAGCCATGAGACCAGGGGGAAGGGGTTTAAGGTGAAAAAGGGGAGATTTAGGAGGAACTTCTTGGCTGTGAGGGTGGTGAGACCCTCTGCCCAGGTTGTCCAGAGAAGCTGTGGCTGCCCCATCCCTGGAGGGGTTCAAGGCCAAGGTTGGAGGGGGCTTGGAGGGACCTGCTCTGGTGGGAGGTGTCCCTGCCCAGGACAACTGGGGGGGCTTTAAGATCCTTTCCAACCCAAAACCACTCTGTGATTCCCCTTTAACTCTGTCCTGGTGAAGCCACAGCTGGAGCACTCGGTCCAATTGTGGGCTCCCCAGTTCCAGAAGGACTGGGAACTACTGGAGAACTGGGAACTACTGGAGAGAGTCCAGTAGAGGCTGCGAGGATGATGAGGGGCTGGAGCATCTCTGTGCTGAGGAAGGGCTGGGAGACTTTTTAACCTGGAGAAGAGAAGGCTGAGAGGGGGGATCTCATTCATGCTGAGGTTGGGTGGCAAGAGGATGGGGGGAGACTCTTTCCAGTGATGCCCAGTGATGGCACAAGGGGCAACGGGGCCAAACTGGGCCAAACTGGGACATGGGAAATAAGGAACAAGGAGAATTGGATGAGATTGATCTCCGAAGGTTCTTTCTAATTGAAATTGTGATTCTGTGTGAGATGGGGAGGCAAGGGGGGGTGTGGTAGTTAGGGTATGGCTAAGTTCAAGCAAAGTGAACAAGCTCCTGAGGAGGTTTCCACAGGGCTCACGTTATGTATAATGTATAATGTGCTTTACTAAAGGGACTGCAGACAAGTGATTAAAGTTGGAGTCTTTGGCAAAGAAGTGGAAAGTAGACTTGAGTCTTGAGATTTGATGTCCAGTGGCATCTGTCAGCTCTGCTGTGCGGATCTTGACTGCACCTTTGTTTCCAGAGTGAAAAACAATCACTTTGACCGTGAGCTGACTTTGTTCAGGAGGTTTTTGGGTCTTAGGATTTCTGCAGCATGTTGTTCAACTTGCCACAGTGTGGAGTCGGGTCCTTGCTGGGAAATAAAATCTTGTAGGAATGCATCTAAGTGCATTTTCTAACAGTCAGGGGGGGAACTTTTCCTCAGGTGTAAGCTTTTCTGAGCTGCTATCAAAAAATGCTCAGGCCCAGACATTGAGCCAACTTAAAACTGATAGTAGTAACCTCATGACTCGTACTCCTACGTCTCATTCCTCTTGAAATTTTTTTTAATTCCTGCTGTTGTACAAGAAGGCTGGAGAGTGAGGAGGAAATCTCCAGCAGGGGGGTCGTTGACTGGGCTGTGGGCAGCTTCACCCCCTCTCTGCCCCCTTTTTTTCTGCCCTCAGAGCCAGAACCAGTGCAGGCTCAGCAGAGCAAGACGGGCAAGTACGTGCCCCCCAGCCTGCGCGACGGAGCCAGCCGCCGCGGGGAATCCATGCAGCCCAACCGTAGGGGTAAGGCAGGGGGGCCTCAGGGTGTTGGGGGGGACACCAGACCTCTGTGGTGCCACGTACGGCACGTGCCACGCTCCTACCAGCCACCCTGACCTTCCTTGTCCTTCCCCTTCTCCTCCAGCTGATGACAATGCCACCATCCGTGTCACCAACCTGTCCGAGGACACGCGGGAGACTGATCTCCAGGAACTTTTCCGGCCCTTCGGTTCCATCTCTAGGATTTATTTAGCCAAGGATAAGACCACTGGGCAGTCCAAGGTGGGTATGGAGGGATTTTTTTCCCCTTTAGGAGGGCTGTGGGGGAGTAAAGTCCTAGAGTCCCCCCCCCAACTTATAGAATCATAGAATCATTGAGGTTGGAAGAGACCCTTGGGATCATGGAGTCCAACCATCTCCCCTACTCTACAAAGTCCTCCCCTACGCCATGTCCCTCAGCACTGCATCTAAACGGCCCTTAAACACAGCCAGGGATGGTGACTCCACCCCCTCCCTGGGCAGCCCTGAGGTGCCCAAAACTGGACACAATATTCTCACCTTCTCACTTTCCTCCCACCTCAGGGTTTCGCCTTCATCAGCTTCCACCGCCGGGAGGACGCGGCCCGGGCTATTGCCGGCGTCTCCGGATTTGGCTACGACCACCTGATCCTCAACGTGGAATGGGCCAAGTAAGTGCCAGGGGGGTGGCTTGGAAGATTGAGGGGGTGCCACATGTCCCTTTGGGGTGCCACATGTGCTCTCCCCTCCCTTGACCTCACTCTTTTCCTTCTCTCCAGACCCTCCACCAACTGAATCCGGTGCCGCAGCGGCTCCCAGTGAGAGCGGTTGGCGCTTCTAAATAAAGATGAAGGTTCTGGTATGCACCAAGGTGTCCATCTTGGTGGTGGGGAGGGCTCACTGGGCAGCCCCATCAGGGAGCAGCCCCATCCCTGTCCCCACCACGCTGTCCCTGTCACCACCTCACCCCCACCCCAGGCACACGGTACCCCCCGTTCCCCACTTTTTAGCCTTTTGGGTGAGGAAAATCCCTCACACAAATCTAGTGGAAAAAAACTGGCTTGGCACGGAGTAGATGAGCACACCATCTGCTGGATCAAGCACTGGCTTGACTGGAAGGTCCCAAAGAGTTGTGCTCAATGGATGTACGTCCAGCTGTGGTGTGCTTCAAGGCTCAGTGTTGGGACCATTTCTGTTGAACGTCTTTATTGATGATCTCCATAAGGACATAAGGTGGAACATCAGCAAGTTTGCAGATGACACCAAGTTAAGCAGGAGTGGTGACTCCCAGGAGGAGAGGGAAGCTTTACAAGAGGATCTGGATAGAGTCCAGTTTTGGGCACCTCAATCCAAGAGAGATCTGGAGGTGCTGGAGCGAGTGCAGAGGAGGGCAACGAAGCTGGTGAGGGGGCTGGAGAATAAAATCTTATGAAGAGTGATTGAAAGAGCTGGGGCTGTTTAGTTTGAGGAAGAGGAGGCTGAGGGGAGACCTCATCACTCTCTACAACTACTTGAAAGGCCACTGTAGAGAGGCTGGTGCTGGGCTCTTCTCCCAGTAATTAGTGACAGAACGAGAGGGAACGGCTTCAAGCTCCAACAGGGGAGGTTTAGATTGAACATTAGGAAGGAATTTGTCACCCAAAGAGTGGTGTTTAAGGGCCGTTTAGATGCAGTGCTGAGGGACATGGTGTAGGGGAGGACTTTGTAGAGTAGGGGAGATGGTTGGACTCCATGATCCCGAGGGTCTCTTCCAACCTAGACCATTCTCTGATTCTATGAAAGAGGTGGATCTCCACCAAAAAATAGGTGCGACGTGAGGCTGTGCTTGTAATTTCAGCTTTAATCTTGCTTCTCCCACCCTTTCCTGGAGGGAAACGTGTTTTTCACTGAATTTCACTGAATTTTTTTAGAGTTGGAAGGGACCATAGAGATCATCTAGTCCAACTCCCCTGCTGAAGCAGGATTGCCTAGAGCTTGTCAGAGCATGTTACTCAGGAGCATCCAGGTGGGGCTTGAAAATCTCCAAAGAAGGGGACTCCATGACCTCCCTGGGCAGCCTCTTCCAGGGCTCTGCCACCCTCACTGTGAAGAAGTTTCTCCTCATAGTTGAGTGGAACCTCTTCTGTTCCAACTTGTGCCCGTTGCCCCTCGTCCTCTCAGTGGGGACCACTGAAAAGAGTCCAGCTCCATCCTCCTTTAGATCCTTGGAAGCATGAAGAAGGTCTCCCCTCAACCTTCTCTTCTCCAGACTAAAGAGTCCCAGCTCTCTCAGTCTCTCCTCATCAGGGAGATGCTCCAATCCTTGAATCATCTTTGTTGCCCTTCGCTGGACTCTTTCCAGTAGTTCCCTGTCCCTCTTGAACTGGGGAGCCCAGAACTGGACGCAGGATTCCAGTTGTGGCCTCCCCAGAGCAGAGCAGAGGGGGAGAATGACTTCCCTTGACCTGCTGGCCACACTCTTCCCTCTGCAACCCAAGATACCATTGGCCTCTTGACCACAAGAGCACACTGTTTACTCATTGTCATTTTCCTGTCCACCAGGACCCCTAGATCTTTCTCTTCAGCAGTTGCCTCTAGCAAGGTCCACCCCTAGCTTCCCCCACGTTTCTGCCACCCTTTTTCCTGGAGGGAAACGTGTCCCCAAAGGGCTACTCTGTGCCTTGGGCCACCTCGGGGGGTTCCTGGGTCGTTGGCTGCAGCTCCACGTGCTCGGTCCTCTTCTCGGTGGTGGTACCGGCGCGGCAGCAGCTCTGCATGCTGTTGGCCAGGGCTCTCTAGCTTCCCCCACGTTTCTGCCACCCTTTTTCCTGGAGGGAAACGTGTCCCCAAAGGGCTACTCTGTGCCTTGGGCCACCTCGGGGGGTTCCTGGGTCGTTGGCTGCAGCTCCACGTGCTCGGTCCTCTTCTCGGTGGTGGTACCGGCGCGGCAGCAGCTCTGCATGCTGTTGGCCAGGGCGGCGTAGAGCAAGGGGTGGAGGCAGATATTAAGGTTAAGGAGGATTTTACAGACCTGCAGGGTGGTGTGGATGGCTCTGGAAACTTCACAGTTCTCCTTTTTCGATGGCATCAAACGCATCCCCAGGTTGAGATTACGAAAAACGTGATAGGGCAAGTAGGAAAAGGCATAAAGAGCCACTCCCACCCCCACCAGTATTCCCACTTTGCGTTTTTCTGACTGGCTGAGGTGAGGATTATGGAAAATAGTGCGGATAATCGCGGAGTAGCAGAAAATGGTGAGGAGGAAGGGCAGCCCACAGCCCAGCCCGGCCAGCACCAGGCTGTAGGGATAAAAATATTGCAGACGCCCCTGGACCGCGGTCCCCAAACACTCGACCTTCCCCGTGGCCCTGTTTGCTTCCAGCTCTGCAAAATGAAGGGTGGGTGCTGAAAAAGCCCCAGCCAGCACCCAAATTACTGCACACAGCACCTTGGCGTGCCGTGGCTCTAACCTCCCGTGGACTTTGAGTGGGTGAACGATGCTGAGGTAGCGGTTGAGGCTGATGCAGGTGACGAAGAAGATGCTGCTGTAGAGGTTGCAGTTGGCAAAGAAACGGTCCAGCTTGCAGAGCAAGGGGCCGTACTTCCAGTGTTTGGGAGGGTAGTAATAAGCAGCCAGGAAGGGGAGGAAGAGGGAGAAGAGCATCCCACTGACGGCCAGGTGGAAGGAGTAGATGATCCCGCTGTGCCAGGAGCGTTCCTGGACCACGAAACGGTAGACGGCGAGGCCGTTGCCCACCAGTGCCAGGGGGAATTGTACCACCAGCACCGGCCACAGCTTCTCCTGGAAGTCGCTGAAGTTGCCGCATTGGGGGGTTGTCTCTGTGGTGGTGGTGTTCATGATGTGTGTCCCCCCCAACCCAGCTCTTTTGGAGGCCAAAAAGGGGTGCAAGTTTAGGTCGTAGGCGGCCAAAAAACAGAGCGTGGTCACCGCGTGGTGGGGGTTTGAGGAGGCCCAAGCCGCCTCGTGCCGGCACCGAGGAGGCGTTGTGGTCCCAGAGTGGGGACAAAATGTGTCACCTTCTCTGGCCCCGAGCTCTTGTGGGGCTCCTAGGGTGCAGAAAGGGGTCCCTGGGGTGCAGGCAGGGTCCCTGGGGTGCAGGAAGGGGTCCCTGGGGTGCAGGTAGAGGTCCTGGGGTGCAGGCTGGGCTCCTAGGGTGCAGGCAGGGGTCCCGGGGTGCAGGCAGGGGTCCCGGGGTGCAGGCAGGGGTCCCGGGGTGCAGGCAGGGGTCCCGGGGTGCAGGCAGGGGTCCCGGGGTGCAGGCAGGGGTCCCGGGGTGCAGGCAGGGGTCCCGGGGTGCAGGCAGGGGTCCCGGGGTGCAGGCAGGGGTCCCGGGGTGCAGGCAGGGGTCCCGGGGTGCAGGCAGGGGTCCCGGGGTGCAGGAAAGAGTCCCGGGGTGCAGGCAGGGCTCCTGGGGTGCAGGCAGGGGTCCTGGGGTGCAGGCAGAGGTCCTGGGGTGCAGGCTGGGCTCCTAGGGTGCAGGCAGGGGTCCCGGGGTGCAGGAAAGAGTCCCGGGGTGCAGGCAGGGCTCCTGGGGGGCAGGCAGGGCTCCCGGGGTGCAGGCAGGGCTCCCGGGGTGCAGGCAGGGGTCCTGGGGTGCAGGCAGGGGTTCTGGGGTGCAGGCAGGGCTCCCGGGGTGCAGGCAGAGGTCCCTGGGGTGCAGGCAGGGCTCCCGGGGTGCAGGCAGGGCTCCTAGGGTGCAGGCAGGGGTCCCTGGGGTGCAGGCAGGGGTCTTGGGGTGCAGGCAGAGGTCCTGGGGTGCAGGCAGGGGTCCCGGGGTGCAGGTAGGGCTCTTAGGGTGCAGGCAGCGGTCCCAGGGTGCAGGCAGGGCTCCTAGGGTGCAGGCAGGGGCTCCTGGGGTGCAGGCAGAAGTTCTGGGGTGCAGGCAGGGGTCCGGGGGTGCAGGCAGGGGTCCCGGGGTGCAGGCAGGGCTCCTAGGGTGCAGGCAGGGGCTCCTGGGGTGCAGGCAGAAGTTCTGGGGTGCAGGCAGGGGTCCGGGGGTGCAGGCAGGGGTCCCGGGGTGCAGGCAGGGCTCCTAGGGTGCAGGCAGGGGCTCCTGGGGTGCAGGCAGAAGTTCTGGGGTGCAGGCAGGGGTCCGGGGGTGCAGGCAGGGGTCCCGGGGTGCAGGCAGGGCTCCTAGGGTGCAGGCAGGGGCTCCTGGGGTGCAGGCAGAAGTTCTGGGGTGCAGGCAGGGGTCCGGGGGTGCAGGCAGGGGTCCCGGGGTGCAGGCAGGGCTCCTAGGGTGCAGGCAGGGGCTCCTGGGGTGCAGGCAGAAGTTCTGGGGTGCAGGCAGGGGTCCGGGGGTGCAGGCAGGGGTCCCGGGGTGCAGGCAGGGCTCCTAGGGTGCAGGCAGGGGCTCCTGGGGTGCAGGCAGAAGTTCTGGGGTGCAGGCAGGGGTCCGGGGGTGCAGGCAGGGGTCCCGGGGTGCAGGCAGGGCTCCTAGGGTGCAGGCAGGGGCTCCTGGGGTGCAGGCAGAAGTTCTGGGGTGCAGGCAGGGGTCCGGGGGTGCAGGCAGGGGTCCCGGGGTGCAGGCAGGGCTCCTAGGGTGCAGGCAGGGGCTCCTGGGGTGCAGGCAGAAGTTCTGGGGTGCAGGCAGGGGTCCGGGGGTGCAGGCAGGGGTCCCGGGGTGCAGGCAGGGCTCCTAGGGTGCAGGCAGGGGCTCCTGGGGTGCAGGCAGAAGTTCTGGGGTGCAGGCAGGGGTCCGGGGGTGCAGGCAGGGGTCCCGGGGTGCAGGCAGGGCTCCTAGGGTGCAGGCAGGGGCTCCTGGGGTGCAGGCAGAAGTTCTGGGGTGCAGGCAGGGGTCCGGGGGTGCAGGCAGGGGTCCCGGGGTGCAGGCAGGGCTCCTAGGGTGCAGGCAGGGGCTCCTGGGGTGCAGGCAGAAGTTCTGGGGTGCAGGCAGGGGTCCGGGGGTGCAGGCAGGGGTCCCGGGGTGCAGGCAGGGCTCCTAGGGTGCAGGCAGGGGCTCCTGGGGTGCAGGCAGAAGTTCTGGGGTGCAGGCAGGGGTCCGGGGGTGCAGGCAGGGGTCCCGGGGTGCAGGCAGGGCTCCTAGGGTGCAGGCAGGGGCTCCTGGGGTGCAGGCAGAAGTTCTGGGGTGCAGGCAGGGGTCCGGGGGTGCAGGCAGGGGTCCCGGGGTGCAGGCAGGGCTCCTAGGGTGCAGGCAGGGGCTCCTGGGGTGCAGGCAGAAGTTCTGGGGTGCAGGCAGGGGTCCGGGGGTGCAGGCAGGGGTCCCGGGGTGCAGGCAGGGCTCCTAGGGTGCAGGCAGGGGCTCCTGGGGTGCAGGCAGAAGTTCTGGGGTGCAGGCAGGGGTCCGGGGGTGCAGGCAGGGGTCCCGGGGTGCAGGCAGGGCTCCTAGGGTGCAGGCAGGGGCTCCTGGGGTGCAGGCAGAAGTTCTGGGGTGCAGGCAGGGGTCCGGGGGTGCAGGCAGGGGTCCCGGGGTGCAGGCAGGGCTCCTAGGGTGCAGGCAGGGGCTCCTGGGGTGCAGGCAGAAGTTCTGGGGTGCAGGCAGGGGTCCTGGGGTGCAGGCAGAGGTCCTGGGGTGCAGGCAGGGGTTTTGGGGTGCAGGCAGGGGGTGGATGCTGCCTTCAGCCTCTCAGTTCACCCCTGTCTTCCTCGCTCAGCTCCGTCCTCTCCTGTCCCTCCCTCTCGGGTTGCAGCGATCACGGGGTCACATCCTGTCCCCTTTTTTTGGGGACTTTGCGTGGGCAAAAAAGCTGCGGGTGGGGAAGGGCAGTTCCTCTTCTGAAGGGCAGAGCCCAAAGCCTGGCAAGATGCCTCCTGGCCTGGGCACCAAAGGGGAAGGAGCTGCCCACAATGGGTAGGGGGACCTTGTTACAGCCCAGGGGACCCCACTTTATCATAGAACAGGACCTTAAAGCCCCCCCAGTGTCACCCCCTGTCCTGGGCAGGGACACCTCCCACCAGAGAAGGTCGCTCCAAGCCCCCTCCAACCTTGGCCTTGAACCCCTCCAGGGATGGGGCAGCCACAGCTTCTCGGGGCAACCTGGGCCAGGCTCTCCCCACCCTCAGAGGGAAGAATTCCTTCCTGAATCTCACCTAAATCTCCCCTCTTTGATGCCCCGTCCTCAGGAACCTTCAAGGTTGGGTTGGACGGGGCTTGGAGCCACCTGGGCTGGGTGGAGATGGCCCTGCTCATGGAATCATGGAAGGGTTTGGGTGGGAAGGGACCTTGGAGACCATCAAGCTCCATCCCAGACACCTCCCACCAGAGCAGGTCGCTCCAAGCCCCCTCCAACCTTGGCCTTGAACCTCTTCAAGGTTCTCTGGGCAACCCCACAGCTCCTCTGGGCAACCTGGACCTTCAAGACCATTGAGCTCCATTCCTGGACACCTCCCACCAGAGCAGGTCCCTCCAAGCCCCCTCCAACCTTGGCCTTGAACCCCTCCAGGGATGGGGCAGCCACAGCTTCTCGGGGCAACCTGGGCCAGGCTCTCCCCACCCTCAGAGTCAACAATTTCTCCCTCAATCTCCCCTTTTTCAGTTAAAAACCCTTCCCCCTGGTCCCATGGCTCCCCTCCCTCATCCCTGCTCCCTCCCCAGCTTTCCTGGAGCCCCTTGAGGGACTGGAAGGGGCTCCAAGGTCTCTCCACAGCCTTCTCTTCTCCAGGCTGAACCCCCCCAACTCTCTCAGCCCCCCCTCTCTCAGCCCCCCCCTCTCAGCAGAGGCTC